CGGGGCGGCTCCTCCTCCCCCATCCCCTTCACCAAGCCCTCGGCCCCTCACTCACTGTTGAGGCCGGCCGGCTGCGGCAGAGACTGGCCACTTTCCTCGCAGTTGTTGTTGTTGTTGTGCAGGGGCGGCGGCGGCTCGACTAGGTGGGACGACATCGTCGGACAGCTGGCAGGGCTCCGGCAGCAGCAGGACCGTCTCAGGCTCTCAGGCAGCAACACAACAAGCCGAGTCCCCCGCCCCCTTTTCTGCGCCTGCGCTGTCCCTCCCCTGCCACTGACGTCAGGGTCCGCCCAGGCCACGTGATGACAACACAACAAGCGACCGGACGGGGCGGGGGCGTTCCACTGCGGGTCCCCGACGTGGAGACGCGCGAGTCAAGCTGACGCGCGCGCCGGGAACGAACTCTTGCGTGTGACTTGGGATGACCGGATGGGATGAGTGATGCCAATGGCACTGCGAGAGAGGATGAGAAGAAGCGGAATGAGGAAGTGCGCTCCTGTGTTAGCGCCCGTGCCTCCTCTCACACAGGCTCCATAGTGCTTCATCCAGCCCTGCACATGCATCTGTTTTCTACTGCTTAGGACTCACTCCTGCAATAGGTGTCTTGGGGACACAAAGGAAGCCCCAAACCCAGGTGCTTCCACTTGTAAACTCCAAATAAAGCTGCTGAAACATCAACACTCCATACGGGAAACAAGGGAAGGCCGCCCCCAAATTTAATTGTTATAGAATTTTTAAAATGTCGATTACAAACACACCATCATTGTAAAAAAGAAAGAGAGAAAGAAGAAAGGGAAAGAAATAAAAAAGAAAGAGAAAAATTCAGGAAAAACAGAAGAAAGCAATCACCCAAATCCCATCGACTAATCGATTTCTGGGACATGACGTGGGAAGCCGTTTATCCTGTACGTGGATGACATTTAACTATTTTCCTGAGCACACCTCCTACTTCACGTCTCCATGTCTTCGCCCTGTCTCCTTGGTCTGATTTATGAGTCACGTATGTTTCTCTCAGTCTCTGACTTGTCTTTTAATTTTTTTTTCACTGTGCAGAAGCGTAAGGTTTTCATGTAATCAGATTTATCATTCTTACATGACTTGGGGAGACTTTCGCACCAAGATTATTAATCTATAATTCCCCTATAACTTCTTCTAATTTTCTTATAGGCTTAAATTTACATTCAGAGCTCTAATCCATCCGCAATTTATTTTGCATATGCTGTAAATGATTTAAATTCAATTCTCAATTTTGTAGCCCATTGACCCAATAATATTAATTTTAAGCCATCCTTTCTACCCTGATTTGAAATTGTACCTTTGTCACTCTCTGAATGCCCACAAAATTGTGAGTCTGTTTCAGGGCTATCTACAATACCTCTGTTAGATAACTATTAAAGTTTCTCTTCGTTTGTCTTTTTCAGATGTTAATGACTAGTTACTCTTCAGATGAACTTAAAAATGGACTTGTCCAAGATTGACCATGTATTGGCAATTATTGAAGCTATGTAATGCATTATTCTTCTAATTTTTAAATATATTTGAAAAATTCCATGCTAAAAGGTTTTTTCTAAGGATTGATTTGTCAAATCCCTTTGCAAATTATTTTAAGATTTTGGTCAGAAATGAACTCTATTAATAGATTGAGTGCTGTTTCCAGTCATACCTGGAAGCAGGAGTTCAAGCCTCAGCTGGTAAGGATTGGCGGCTGCTGGCCATCTGAGTTTTTTAAAAACTGCTTGCCGTGAAGCTAGTCTGCAGCCAAAATGTCCAGCAGAAACAACAACAAGCTGCCCAGCAACCTGCCGCAGTTACAGAATCTGATCAAGCGAGACCCACCGCCCTACATCGAGGAGTTTCTACAGCAGTGTAATCACTACACATCCAGTGTGGAGATTTTCAAATTGCAACCAAATAAACCCAGCAAAGAACTAGCAGAACTGGTAATGTTTATGGCACAGAACATCCTAGATATGTGCATCTGAATAATAGGAGAGAAAGAAACTTCAGAAGAGCCTGTGCTTTGTTACAGATTAGTCTCTGCTACACAGGGTATCTAAGTAATTTTCCTCAAGTGGTGAAAGATCTTCTGTCCTGTAATCATACCGTATTGGATCCAGATCTTCGAATGACGTTTTGCAAAGCTTTGATCTTGCTGAGAAATAAGAATCTCATCAATCCATCAAGCCTACCAGAGCTCTTCTTTGAACTTCTATGTTGCCATGATAAGCTTCTGCAAAAGACTTTATACACACATATTGTGACTGATATCAAGAATGCAAACACAAAACACAAGAATAAAGTGGATGTAGTGTTGCAAAATTTCATGTACACCATGTTAAGAGATAGCAATGCAACCACAGCCAAGATGTCTTTAGATGTTATGACTGAACACTACAGAAGGAACATCTGGAATGATACCAAAACTGTCAGTGTTATCACAACTGCCTGTTTCTCTAAGGTCACCAAGATATTAGTTGCTGCTATGACATTCTTTCTTGGGAAAGATGGAGATGAAATACAGGACAGTGACTCCGAATCTGAGGATGACGGACCAACAGCAAGAGACCTGCTAGCACAATATGCTATAGGGAAGAAAAGTTCCCAAAACAAGAAAACATTGGAAAAGGGAATAAAAGTGCTCAAGAAACAAAAGAAGAAGAAAAAACCAGAGGTGTTTAACTTTTTAGCTGTTCACTTGATTCATGATCCCCAAGATTTTGCAGAAAAACTACTAAAGCAGCTTGAATGCTGTAAGGAGAGGTTGGTAGTGAAGATGATGCTCATGAACCTCATCTCCAGATTGGTGGGAATTCATGAGCTCTTCCTCTTCAATTTCTGTCACTTTTTGCAAAAGTTTCTGCAGCCCACCAAAGAGAAGTAACAAAGATCCTTGTTTGCTGCACAAGCATCTCATCACCTAGTACACCCAGCGATTATTCAATCATTGCTTATGACTGTGGCCAACAATTTTGTTACTGACAAGAACTCTGGAGAAGCCATGACAGTAGGAATCAATGCTATAAAAGAGATAACAGCTCAGTGTCCTCTGGCCATGACTGAAGAGCTTCTCCAAGACCTGGCCTGGCTCAGTATAAACCACACAAGAATAAGAATGTAATGATGTCTGGTAGAACTTTGATTCAGCTCTTCCAAACACTGAATCCTCAGATGCTGCAGAAGAAATTCTGGGGTAAGCCTACAGAAGCCTTTGGAGAAGCAAGAGTACAGTAATATGGAGAATTAGATGCTAAAGATTACATTCCAGGAGCAGAAGTTCTGGAAGTTGAGAAAGAGGAGAATGCTGAAAATGATGAAGATGGATGGGGAAGTACCAGTCTCAGTGAGGAGGAGGATGCCGATGGAGAATGGGTTGATGTTCAACACTCTTCCGATGAAGAACAGCAAGAAATTTCCAAGAAGCTGAACAGCATGCCCATGGAAGAGCAGAAAGCCAAAGCAGCAGCCATCAGCACCAGTAGAGTTTTAAGTCAGGAAGACTTCCAGAAAATCCGCATTGCCCAAATGAGAAAAGAACTTGACGCTGGCCCCTGAGAAATCCCAGAAGAGGAAATATATTGAAATCGACAGTGATGAAGAGCCCAGGGGTGAATTACTTTCTCTTCGGGACGTTGAACGCCTTCATAAAAAGCCAAAGCCAAAGTCTGACAAAGAGACAAGAATAGCAACTGCAATGTCTGGAAAGACAGACTGAAAAGGATTTGTGAGGAAGAAAACCAAAATGAATCCATTTTCCAGTTCAAAAAGTAAAGAGAAGAAAAAACAGAAGAACTTTATGATGATGCTGTATAGCCAGAATGTCTGGTCAAACAATAAGCGTTCCTTCCGAGAAAAATAGTTGGCGCTGCGAGATGCACTTTTGAAAAAGAGAAAAAGAATGAACTTCCCAGAAAGTTTTCCATTCCAAGAAGAATGCTAATTTGTGTCACTATTATTCATGCAAAAGTATTGAATGCCTGTTGTCCCTGTAGATACAAAATGAATGAGTTGTAACTACCCCTTCACTCAAGGCTTGACAGCTTAGTTGTGGGGGTGAACACATACATGTGTATTTACAGTGCAGTGTAAATAGTTCTCTAGTAGAGGTAGGTCCATATTTCTATGCAGTCACTGAGGCCTTATGGACTAACACTGTGGGGATGGGGGTTATATATTCCTGTAAAACAAAACAAAACAGGATGATTATAACAAGAGTAAGAGGTTCTTACTTGTATGTAGGCTTACCTGCTGAAAACAGGCCCCTGCTGTACAGATTTTGGGTACATAATTGAGCTCTTTTAGTCAATTCAAGAGATTTAAATGACCCCCCCCTTTTTTTTCTTTTTGGAATGCCATTTAAAGGCTTTTTGGTTAAGACCTCACTTTTTGGAATGTATTTAGTTCATCATTTGAGATGACTTCATACTGGTTTCCTCAACCTTCCTTCACCCTGTATTATTTTCAGCCCACTGTTTACCTTGTCTCAATAAAAGGTTTCTAATGCCAAATAAAAAAATATTGAGGGGATTATTGACATATTTATAGAATTGTTTTCCCAGTCAGGACTACGAGATCCCACTTTGTTCTATTTTCCTTTTAGATGCTCCTTTTAAAAGGTTTTAAACTTTCAAAAAAAAGTTTTTTATTAATCATATGCTATTTTATTTTATTATTTTTTATTTTTTTTGAGACAAGGTCTCACGCTGTCACCCAGGCTGGAGTGCAGTGGTACAATCACGGCTCACTGCAGCCTTAGCCTCCGAGGCTCAAGTGATTGTCCCACCTCAGCTTTCCCAGTTGGTGGAACTACAGGTGCCTGCCATCACGTCCAGCTATTTTTTTGTATTTTTTGTAGAGACCGAGTCTTCTGTGTTGCTCAGGCAAGTCCCGAACTCCTGGTCTTACGGGATCCCCCTGCCTCAGCCTCCCAAACTGCTGGGATTACAGGCATGAGCCACCTCGCCCAGCTTACTATACTCATTTTACTGAAAATAGTTAGGTTTCCTTTTCTCTGGTCTTACGTAGATGACATTGAAATTACTTTCTTTAAGGAGATGTTGTAATTCCCTATGGAAACATTGGGGCCTGGTGCTTTTAGGAAGATTATCTCTATTTCTATAGGATGTTACCTTTATTTCTTATTTTGTGTTGTTTGTCCTCTGTTTTTTTCTTGATTATATTACCTAATCATTTATTTTATTGACTCTTAAATTGAATTCCTGCTTCCTAGTTGTATTATTCCTAATTCTTGTTTTTTAATAGCCCCATTGAAATATAATTCACATACTATACAATTCATCCATTTAAAGTTCAATTTAATGTTTTTTATATATTCAGAGTTTTCAGAGTTACATAACCATCACAGTCTAACTTTGGAACACTTTTGTCACACTGCCCCCCACCCCCCCCAGTGAAACCCTGTACTCACTGCAGTCACCCTCATCCTTTCCTAGCTTCTTGTATCTTTGATACTTATTTCATTCTTTATTAATTTGGGTATTTAAGAATTTTTCCCTGGTCAGATTTGGTTTTTGTACCATTTCTAGTTTGGGATTTTTTTTTTTAAGGTGTTCTCTGGGGCCTAACTTATGATTCCTTTTGGTGACTATTCCATATTTGAAAAGAAGATGTAGTTTATGTTCACAAAATCGGGTTTGATGTATCTATTGGAACCACCTTAATGTCATTTAAGTTTTCATATAGTTGATTATTTTCCTCCCTTTACATGTCATGGATTTCAAGAGGTAAATTAATATCTGCTACTCCTGTTTCTTTCTTCTTGTATCTTCATTCCTTATAGTTGATGCACAGATATTCATAACTATCCCTGTTTATCACTATAAAGTGGTCATAATTTTGTCCTCAGTTCAATCTCGATACTAAGATCATGGTTTGGGTTTTTACTATTATTATTGTTGCTTAGTTGTATTCACCTGATGAAATTTTAATTTTTGTTCAGTTAGTTACCTTTATATATTTATATAATCCTCCTAATCCTTCTCTTCCTTAGTTTCTTTTAATGCCCAGCAAGGAACAGTAATGAAATTAGTATAATTCCTCTTCTTCCACCTTTACCTCTACTACCCATTTTTTAGTTGATCATATCTTTTTTTTTTGATAGGTTCTCACTCTGTCACCCAGGCTGGAGTGCAGTGGCAGGATCCCAGCTCACTGCAACCTCCACCTCCTGGGTTCAAGCGATTCTTGTGCCTCAGCCTCCTGAGTAGCTGGGATTACAGGTATGTACCACCATGCCCAGCTTTTTTGTATTTTTAATAATAAAGACAGGGTCTCACCATGTTGGCCAGGCTGGTCTTAACTCCCGACCTCACGTGATCCACCTACCTTGGCCTCCCCCAGTGTTGGGCTTACAGACATGAGCCACCATGCCCAGCTGATATCCCCACTTAATATTTACCTTTCTCATTTTAGATATAGTTGTACTTCTCTTACTTGATTGTGGCAATAGCCACTGGATACAAAGACTATTTCTTGATTTATTAAGATGATTAATTTTGATAAGAAATAAGGTAATATACTTGCCCTACCAATTATTTATTTATTTAGAGACAGAGTCTTGTTCTGTCGCCCAGGCTGGAGTGCAGTGGCATTGGAGACCAGCCTGGGCAACACAGTGAAACACCATCTCCAATACAAAAGGGCGTGGTGGTGCACATCTGTAGTCCCAGCTACCCGGGAGGCTGAGGTGGGAGGACCACCTGAGCTCAGGGTTTAAGGTGGCAGTGAACTGTGATCGCACCACTGCCTACTGCCCTTCAGCCTGGGTGATGGAGTAAGACTGTCTCAAAAATAAAATAAAAGAAAAAGGAAAAAGAAAAACAGGAACGATGCTGTGCTCTGCAATATGTTTTACTATTAATTATATTAAATTTTTGAGCATTGATTCCATAATACCACATCCAATTACAAGTAGTTTCGCCTGGTTTGGTTGTAATTTTAAAGCAAAAGAGGAGGCACAAACTCAAATGGTTACAGAAGGGAGTTAGTGTAGTTGAGTTGTGGAGTGACTGTTGAGAGGCGTTGTCATCCAATGACCAGATAAACTTGTCTACCAATAGGTCAGCACTTGGCTGCCAGTGGACAGAAGGAAGTAAGGATGAGAGGAGGGAAGAAGGGGAGAGGAGGAGAGAGGTTTCTATTTTCTAGGCTGGGCACAGGGGTGGCTCATGCCTCTAATCCCAACATTTTGGGAGGTGGACACGCAAGGATCGCTTGAGCCCAGGAATTCAAGCTTAGCTTGGGCAACATCTCTACAAAAACTTTTTTAAAAAGTTAGCTGGGCATGGTAGCAGGTACCTGTAGTCCCAGCTACTTGGGAGGCTGAGATGAGAGGACTGGGCCCAAGAGGTTGAGGCTGCAGTGGGCCATGATCAGGCCACTGCATTACAGCCTGGGTGACAGAGTGAGACCCTGGCTCAAAAAGCAATGATCATCACTGTATTTTCTTAAACTCACAGGATTCCTAGTGTGGCAGTCCAGCACATCCTAACCACTTTGCTCTGTGTTACTTAACAACTGTATTACCTGATCAGTGAACCTTTTTAGGCATTGATAAGTTAAGTGTTGGGCAACAAAAGTTTGATACAGATTTGGGCTAACAAATTAACATTTTCAAAGATACTGTAAGAAAGCAAAATGGTGTTTGACAAACTCAAATTACGATGCTTCATTACGTTAACTGCTAGGCAATCGATTTAGTGAATAGAGCAGAAATACATTTCAATTCTGAAGAGACAAATGTTGTTCTCCTTACAGAGTGACTCAGTGATGTGACCTTTGATAGAATGGTATTTAATAATTTGTCACTAGTGAATTCTACCAAACACTGAAGGAAGAAATTATACCAATTTTGTCCATATTCTTCAATAATACAGGAGAGGAAAATTCATTTTATGAGATCAGCGTTACACTAGACAGTGAAATTAAAATATAAAAAAATTGTAGATCAGTATCCTTCATGAACATTGATGCAAACTACTCAACAAAACACTTGCAAAATACAAAACTTAGCTGGGCGTACCCAAATGCCAACTGTGATGTCATTACTTATGTTGTACTACTTTATTGTATATTGTATGACTTTATTGTAGTACAATGTAAGTAATGACTTCACAGTTGGCATTTGTGTTCCCCTCCATCATTGATTTCTCAAATATTTACTTGAGGGTCATAGTGAACAGTGGTTTGGGGCACACAATATCCTGTATTTGGTCCCTGATTTTATTTTTAATAATGAAGCTCTTCCAGTACAGAAAGACTCCCGTTTTTACATTCTTAAAAATACCCCATCATTGCTGCTCAAAACTTAACGATCACCCCCTAGTGGTTTCTTAAAATATATTTCTTAAAATACATCTTCTATTTGTAGAGATGGGGTCTTGGTTTGTTGCCCAGGCTGGTCTCAAGTGATCCTCCCACCTCAGCCTCCCAAAGTGCTGGGATTACAGGCATGACCCAATGCTCCCCACCATTGCCCTCTAGTGGGAAAGTCCTCGAAGAACTTGTTGCTATTCAGATTACAAAGGAGCATGAGTAGAACATTTGAAAAAACACAAATATTAGCTTTTCCCCTTATGCCAGTTTGTTTGCCAAATTCCTTTTAGAGAAAACTAAGCTTTGTAGTGCCTTCTCTTTGATACACTGAGCTAGCAAGAGACTTATTAACGTTAAGCCTGTAAAGTGGGTGTTTCTTCATTCTAATACAGAGGTAAGAGGTTCCAGTCTAATACCACTATGGAATAAAATGTTGAGACAATCTCAGTTACAAACAGTATCTTTGGCATCTGAAAACACCTCAAGACCGCAGAATCGCTAAGCATTTGATTAATACTAAAAGAGTTGTAATGTTTTGACCTCACGCATAATTACAAAATGAAGCAGGGTCATTTTTCAAGGCTTTTTTGGGGGGAAGAGGTGGTGCGTCAAACCCCCTTTTTAACCACAGTAAGACATACACGTAGAGCTTAAACTATCACCATCTGAACAGATAAGATACCAAAATACAGGTGCTCTCAAATGCACAAGTAAACTGACTTGATTCTTGACTACACTGCATATGCCTATCTTTTCCATCTTTTGGGCAGGGGGAGATGGGTTTGTTCTTCTGGAAGTGCATAATACTATCTACATTTGAATTTATGTGTGGTAAAGATGCTCAAGCAATATTCCCTTAGAAGGGTTTAAGTATCACTAAAAATTCTTTATCAGTACTGCATAGCTTTCCTATGTGCAATTTCTTAACACCTTACTCAAAAAATAGTCACACACTGAATCAAAGAAGCTGCTTTCCTATCTCTGGCTTTCTGTAGACATTTCTCTAACCAGAATAACACATTTAAGGCTTTAAAATTCTCTTCATTTTGAAAGGAAGAGTGCATGGATGTATTTTTGAGACGGTGTCTTCTTGTGTCGCCCAGGCTGGAGTGCAGTCGCGCAATCCCGGCTCACTGTAACCTCCGCCTCCCGGGTTCAAGCCAATTCTCCTGCCTCACCTTCCGGAGTAGCTGGGATTAGACACGTGCTACCATCCGGCTGATTTTTTATATTTTTAGTAGAGACAGGGTTTCACCATGTTGGCCAGGCTGGTCTCGAACTCCTGACCTTAGGTGATTCACCCACCTTGGCCTCCCAAAGTGTTGGGATTACAGGCGTGAGCCACCGCGCCAGACTGGACGCATTTTTTTTTTTTTTCTTAAATCCCAAGAGACAGAGGGCTGCACAGAAGCTTACCATCCAGCAGTTAATGGTTGCATAAACATGTATTTAGATAGGTTTATAAAATAATTCTTCTTCTTGCCCAGCCACTAAGTAAAGATCGAAAGAGGTTAACAGAATGAAAGTCCTTTTCCTACCACAATCTCTTCTAAAAGGTTAAGAGATGGAGTATGTGCATGTATTAGTGGCAAGAGAATAGGAAATACAAGCAACTTGACAAGACTAAGTTTATTCTAAGTATAATTTTTATTAATAAAAAGATTAACCATGGCCATGTAAAATGAGTGGCTGGGCTTAGAGTTTGCTACACCAATGAGATTAAAAAATTAATACTTGAGAATGTTAACAATAATTTATAATAGCATTCCTTGATAGAGGCATTTTAATTTTAGCAATTATTTCTCTTAAATATATAAACTAATCCTTAGTGTCATGGAGGAGAATCATCATAGCTACTGATCAATCAAAAAAGAATCTGAGAGCTGTTTAGTGGTGTTATCTCAAGACACACAACCAAACTGTAGGAAAATCTCCCAAAAAAGATCTGGAAAACTGTCCAGTCACAACACAGGAAGTCTATCACTGTCGGACACTTGTGACGGGGGAATATCCCACTTCCAAGTCAAGTGTGAAGAATAAATAACACAAATTAAGAATGTACCCAAGATCCCCAAATAAATTAGTAAAAGTGCCATTAAGAATTATCAGACATAGAATGTGTTCAAATACAAATTTGTTAAATCCAAGAGATACAGTAATTTTATTACATAAAATTTCTCCTGTGTGCTAAAAATGCGAACTTACAAGACATAATATTTGTAATAGAGGGAATCACGGTCGGCTCGTTGAATTCTTTTTCATTATTGAATAGAACAATAGGTAGTGGACATAGAAGCACTCAGAGTCCTCTGAAATTCAAGGTTGTTACATTACGTTCAACCAAAATAAAACTACCATTCTCTAATAATATAAATGCCTGTTCATTTCACCTTTCAAAAATAAAGTCCATTTCTTCTCCATTAAAGCTTCTGCAAGACTGACAAAGGTACATTCTACCTATTAAAAATAGGAGCACTCTTCATCTTTGGATAATGTATCACTGCTTAGGGAAAATGTACTCATATACAGATTTTTGAGGCAGCTGTTGGAGTTCATTAAGCACTTTTTGAATGCTGTACCTTTAAAAATTTGTCTTTAATATAGCTTTGGAAAACCAAAAATAGAAGAAAAATATCTATGGTAAAGTATATTTCATTCTGATTTGATAGCAGTAAAATACAAAAAAAGTATTTAGTGCATTGTCGTCACTTGATGTTAGTTTTCTGCTATTTTATATGACTGAATGACAAAAAAAGTTCTAACTTGTTAAAAATGTTGTATAAGTCTTTGACTAGTAAGGCAAAAATGAAATTAAGCACTGTAAAAAGTAGAAATTAAGTTCTACAAATTTGGTTCCCATTTACAACAATTTCATTAACAGATAATGAGTTAAATAGAGATACAATGTATCCAATACCCTCATGATGACGGTAAATAGAAAAAAACCAACTAGTAGCATTTATAGATTGTGAAATCCTTAATAAAACCAATATATATTCAAAATATGTTCATAGAGAACCAATACCTCTCCTCCTGCATGTAAAAGAACACTTGTTAAAAATAATTAACAAAAATACCAATAAAACAATGAAAACCCATTTTGTTTCACTGTGCCCAAAGGTATGACACAAAATATTGGCTACAAGAGGTAGGTTAAAAAGAAAAAGAAAACCAGATTCTCCATTCTTTGTCACTTTTATTCAGTAGTAGGTTTTTTTTTTTCCTTATTTTCAGTGCCAGACATGGCAAGGAGTGATTACAGCCAACTGTTATTAAAACATTTGTTCGCAACATATACCCCCTTTATACCACTGACCCCAAACTGACTCATTTTGTGTGCTTTCATTCTTTCTTTTTTTAATATACCACCACCAAGACCGGGTGGAGGGGGCAAGGGTAAGAGAGATGAAGGGGAGGAGTCCAGGAGGCCAGAAGAGGAGGAATGCTACAAGCCACAGTAAGAATGAGCTGTATTTAATTTAAAAAAAGGGGGAAGGGGTGTACCCCACAAATGATACAGTAATGAGGATACACAATTAAATCCCATAGCATGACTGAAGGCTTTCACTGTGTTTGACGTCATCACAATGGAAGGCATAAAAAGTGGAGTAAATCAATGTTGATACAGTCCAATCTAGTCCATTAGGCAAGATGGTGCAAGAAGTCATTTAAATTAAAAGTGCCCTACCCTTACCTAAATGGCTAGCAGACATGGAGAACACCACAGTGATGAATCCACAGAGCTTTCTCCATGTAGCTATAACAATGTGTTGTCGAATGGCACACTGTCAAACACTGGAAAGGGGCGCCACAATGGACCTCTCTCTTTTATAGGAACGAATGCTAGATTCAACTATCTCAACTAAGCAGGAAGTGGGTTCTTCTGCTAGGAATGCCAACCCTAATTCACTTTGTCTTGAAATATATACAGATTGTTTGTAGTAGCTACGGCAATGATATTTTCCTTGGGGTGCCAGGCTGTGTGAAGGATTTTCTTATTGAAGTCTAGGCTGTCAACACTTATTTCATCTTTCTTTCGCTTGCCACTGGCACAGACTTTGCGAGGCTTCAGAACCGTGCGAGGCTTATTGTTTTCCCGCGATGCTTCTAGGGTTATGTCTCGCTTTGTGTTTCTGTCAAACATTCTGAAGAAATTATTGTAAGATCCAGTCATGACAACGCTGTGAAAATAGACAGTACACTCAGTCAAACAAGCAGAACAAGAAATTGTTTTTAAGTAAAATGATTCAGTGATTAAACCATAGGAAACAGCTACTTCAAGCAGATTTAAAGTAAGGGACAGGGCTGTTGACATCAACTCAATCACCGGAATAAACCAAAATATGGTACTAATTAACTGAGTTTTCTGCTTATTATTCCTTTTCATGGCTACCAAAACTATCACCGAAGTTGACAGCATCCTCAAGTAAAACTTCTTAGTAGTGCAGAATTATCTTTGTTGAATAGTTTTGCAACTACAGGTTATGTGATCAACCAGGTCAGGCAGCTTCTCAAAGGAGCAACTATCTGTGGAACTCACAGGTTCTAAAATGAAAGAACCCCGCATGAAGTAGCTGTAGCTGTTCACAAGAAACCAATGCTTTATCTTATGATTTACATTTTTTGGGTCAGGCACGGTGGCTCATGCCTGTAATCCCAGCACTTTGGGAGGCCGAGGCCGGCGGATCACGAGATCAGGAGATTGAGACCATCCTGGCTAACACAGTGAAACCCTGCCTCTACTAAAAATACAAAAAAAGTAGCTGGGCGTGGTGGCAGGCGCCTGTAGTCCCAACTACTCGGGAGGCTGAGGCAGGAGAATGGTGTGAACCCGGGAGGCAGAGCTTGCAGTGAGCCGAGATCGCACCACTGCAGTCCAGCCTGGGCGACAGAGTAAGACTCCATCTCAAAACAAAACGACGACGACAAAAAAATACAAAAATTAGCCGGGCGTGGTGGCACGTGCCTGTAGTCCCAGCTACTCAGGAGGCTGAGGCCGGAGAATCGTTTGAACCTGGGAGGCGGAGATGTAGTGAGCCAAGATCGCACCACTGCACTCCAGCCTGGGTGAGAGACACTGTCTCATAAATAAATAAGTAAATAAATAAATAAACAATTATCTTCTCAGGGTGTTGTCTGGTTCAGATAATCACATTTAATAAAGGCTTATAATCTGCTCCTGAGAAGTGGTACATAATGTGTGTGTGTGTGTGTGTGTGTGTGTGTGTATATATATATTTTTTTTTTGAGACAGGGTTTCACTCTGTCACCCAGTTTGGAATGTGGTGGCACAATCACAGCTCACCGCAACCACAACCTAGACCTCCTGGGCTAAGCAGTCCTTGCACTTCAGTCTCCTGAGTAGCTGTGACTACAGGCATACGCTGCCATGTCCAGATAATTTTTAAATAATTTGTAGAGATAGGGTCTTGCTACATTGCCCAGGCTGTAATATTTTATTAACAGAACATCATTTTACTTTTACCACTAAAAACATTTTAAGCAAATATTTGTAGAAGTATCAGTTTAAAGGGGTGGCAAAATTTTTAAGCTGCCCAAGACACTTCCCTGTCAGTTCTATTTGCCAGCCATTACTGCTCGACAGTTATTAAGTATCCTCACAAACAAAACTTCCTAAGTTTGAAGCTCTTAATAATTTGGAAAGGGTCTGCTACCACTGCTTATCACATGGTTCAAATTATTATTGTAAATAAGGATTACAGGATACTGGGGAATTGTTCAAAGTAATACTTACATACAAAGGTCACCTACTGAGTACAAATGATTATCTATTTAGTAACGTCAATTCCCAAAGAACACTTGACGACAACTTTAATCAAACTCAAGGTAATGAATGCCCCTGAACATGATAAAACTGTATTTCTTTAAAAATGGCTCATGTAATTTAGATTGACATCCCCATATCATCTGTGTGTTTTAATGGGTTAGGACATTTAGTCTGTGGCTATTTGAAACTTTAAAAAGGTATCATTAGGTCAGCATTTCTGTGGTATTCCTGCCAAAAATGTATAGCCTGAATCTAATAACGAGGAAACATTCTGTAAAATAATTGGCCTGTGTTCTTCAAAATGCCAAGATCACAAAAGACAAGGAGAGACTGAGGAACTGTTTCAGAATAAAGGAGCCTAACAAGAGGTGACAACTAAATGTTGGATACTGAACCAGACTGACTTTGTTCTGTGCCATAGAAGACACAGTTACAGTAACTGGTGAGTTTTAGTGGGTCTGCGAATTAGAGGGCAGTACTGCATCGCTGTGAATGTTGCTTTGGATGCTGCACTATGTTGGGAAGTGTTTTTGTCAGGAAATACTCATTCAAGAATTTAGGGTTATGGGCATCACATCTAGAGTAAACGGGGTAAATTCCCATGTAGCACACAAGTTGTGTGTGTGAGCACGTGCGCATGTACCTATGTGGACAAATATAGCTATAAACAAACAGAGGATAGACCACGTGATACAGCAAACAGCAACAGGGGAACTTGGGTCAAGGCTGGCCAAGAGTTCTTTGTGTTATTCTAACAAATTTTCTCCAAGTTTGAAATAATTTAAAAAAATTTTTTAATATTAAGGAAAACAAATAGTTTCTTTCTGATAATAGAACATACAACTGCTAATAATCTGCTTAAACAATACAAGGAAGAACTAGTTGTAGCTGTGTGCCACACCCTAGTTCAGTATCTCTTTACTCTTCAAATTTGTTAATTTTTTTTTTCTTCTTCCTTTTCCTTCTTTCTTCTTCCCTTTCCTTCTTTCTTGATGCCTCAGGTTTAGTAGTGGCACTCAAAGGCAATGTTTGCTACCAATAGAGCTCTACTAGTTTACTAGTAGTAATAGTTTACTAGTCCTCTCATCATGTCAAAAATCAGGTAATTTTAAAAGCCAGACGAAAGAAGACATTCTGTAAGTTCTATTATCCTTTGTAACACGTAACACCATGAAATCGGAATCATATTAAGCTCTGTGATAAAACTGTTGTTAAAGCATCTCTAATTACTTTAAATGTCAGTTTAATTCCAAAAATTATGTTTTACTACTTTATGTTCTACTGGAACATAGTGGCAAATAGACAACTAAAAGACTCAAAGACTTACTTTATCTTTAAATAACGGTAACATTTTACTAAAAATGTATACTAAAAAGGAATTACACTACAGCAAAACTGGAAATTACAAAAAGCAAAGGAAAACTACTCCTAAAAATTTAACCATATATATTATGGTTAACATCATACATAACATACATATGGAAGACCACTTCTATGAGGTGTTAATGTAGCATCTGGAAAACCTGGTGTCTCTAACAATTCAAATGAATTATCTGCCGCCTGAATGTTTCTAAAACAGTTTAATGGTAGAATCACAACCAAGCTGAAGCTTCACTGTTTTAATGGTTAGCATGTCAGAAATGTGATCTGGTTCATGTAAGAAAAAAAATTCTAGACGTTTAAATAATTTAGATTACCTAGAATTTGTGTACTTTTATATTTACTAGTGAAATACAATGCTTAATTTTTATCTGCCAGTACTGCCGTGCTATATCTAAGATTAGTAAATGTATTTCAAGGAATCCCTAGAGACAAATGAAGTTAGGACCTGGAATGAAATAATTAAGTTTCTTTTCTTTATAAAATTCATATTTGAGAGGTTTGACTTAAAATCAATTACCTGTCAGATCCATTCCAACAACATTCAAATTTGTCAAATATGCAGTCATTTTCATACAGTGAACAGAGTTTACTTCTGAGGTATTCATGCACCTGGGGAAAAAATACAAATATACTACACTGAAATTAGGAAAATGATTTAACAAGTCCGTATTTTTAAAAAGAAAAAATGGGCATATACAGACACACAAACAAACCTTTTAAACCTATTAATCTCAATCTTCTCAGTAACAATAAAGGCATTTTGTCCTTTTACAAAACACACAAGTCCTTCAGGGAGGCACATTTTCCTACTGGTATGACAAAGGAAAACTCCATTCTGGGTATGGCACACATAACCTTTATAAGCCTGAAAACATTCAGGCCAAAAAAACTTGAAAATGGCACAGTTAAGAGACTAATAAAAGAACATTACAGCAATATCTCAATATCACTATTCTTGGCTTTCAGTCCATTAACTACTGATAACAACACTGAAACTGTGCCTATTTCTTTCTTAAATACCATTTTCTGGGCATAAATTTGACTGAAGCCTCTATTTCCAATTATAAATGCACATGTATGCATAGTGTAACCATGCCTTGGTTTGATGATAAATTATATGGTTATCCTGGGCATATATTATTAAAAATTTGATAGTATCATATATTACTTATACAATGTCAAAAGCAAACAAAGCTGTGCCTCTGTTTTTTGAATTATACAATTCTGTATTTACTAATGTCAAAAAAGGATAAACTAGAAATAAATCTCATATTTAAAAAGTAGCCTGAGAAATATGACATATTTAAACATTAATATTAATTACAAAGAAAAGTTCCCAAGTATTTGTTGTAACTCAAAGGAAAAAAGAAGTGTCTATATTTCACCCTCTTTTTTTAAGGAGCTACTTAACGAGAAATGAGAGAAATGAGTACTTTCTAAATGCTTAAAATTCTCTATTCTATATGAAACAATCTAAACTTATTTCAGTGTCCATTTTAACTTTAAATATAGAGGAATGATTCAGGCCATGTCTCTGTGACATCAAGTGAAAATCTGTAATACAGAGGAATAGCAACTCATGTGGCGTCAGGACCAAAACTGAGCATGTAACACAAAAAAATCAGTAAGAAAAAAATACCCTTCAATCACACAAAACTTGGGAAGACGCTGGTACAAATTCAATAAAAATAGTTTTATCTATATAAGATACGTTTGCCTATAATGTGACTACTTTTAATCACTCAAATTGATTATAGGTAGAAAAGTAGCAAATCAGGTAAAATTAGGTAGATCATAATTTAGCAACATTTTAGAATGCATGTTACAGGGTTTCTCCCTATACATCAGTATGAAGCTAAGGTTCAAATCAATTCTTCTCAATGGGAATGAAATGGTGGTGAGGGTAACTAGGAGATGTATCAATCTTGGCAGTTACACAAACATAAGTCTTTTTTCAGTATACACGAGGGATTGGTTCCAGGAACCCCAGGGATGCCCAAATCTGCAGTTAGCCCTGCGGAATCCACACATGAAGTTTTGGCTCTCCATATATTTGAGGGGTCTGCATCCCTCAAATACTGTATTTTCAAATGTGCATTGGTTGAAAAAAACAAAAAAATCTGTTCGAGTGAACCCATGCAGTTCAAATCCGTGTTGCTCAATAGTGAACTGTATTTTGAAAAGCAAAGCAGGATTTTGTCTTTTTGGCTTTTGTTTCAGTGCAGTATTTATTTTGAAATTTCACATATCAAAAACAATCTTGGTTTATGTTTGTCAGAGGATTTAAAAGTTTGAGAAACATACTTCCAAGTCTATTGAGAACATATAACATAAAGAAAGTGTATGTATAAAATAGAGCTAAGTGATTTCACCACTGCAGTCTAGGGCCTAGTATAGGTTCTGTCTCTTATACACATCTAGATGTGGTCTAGGGCCTAGTATAGGTTTGTGCTGGCCCTCACCCTGTTCCAGACTGTGTACTTCATTCTCTTTTGTTGGATGTAGTGGACACAGATAAATAGTAGTGGCTGGCTGATAAGAGAATCAAGAACTGATACCCAACAACGGATAAGCAACTCCTAAAGCCATCTGCTAAGGCTTTCAAGCCCTTCTCCTTTAGCTGAAGACAACAGTTATCTGCCAAAAGGCAGAACACCAGTCCATTTGACTTGGCACACCAAGTTTAATCTCTAGTTGAACTACTCCCACAACCTGAGCAGATGCACCTCTACTAGGACTGGTCATTTTCCCCAATCCTCTTCCTGCCCAGACCTTAATGAGGGGTGCTCTTCCTTTCTCACTTTAAATGTACATAGCGGCAGGAAAAAAAAAATGTCAATACTGAACCAAATGGGTAAATCACACTTTAACTGCAAACTCAAGAGAAGACACAACCTATGTAAGTATACATACATTTAACATAAGGAAAAGCAACATACTCATAGATCTCTGAGGGAAAAGGCCTAATGGTGAACCAACACCATACAGGGATTAAAACCTAGTAACAAAATCCTTCTCTATAAACACTTCAAAGTAAACAGGGTATATGCTCATTGAAAGAAAAAACTGCAAATACCTGGTATGTTTCCACAGGCCTGTTTTCCATATTTAAGTCCCAAATTTTGACTGACAAATAGTCTCTAGTCATCATGTATCGACCACTATGGCTGAATTTTACATCCGAAATAGAGGAGATGATTTCGGAAAAAAATGACCTGTTACTGGGATCTTCAGGTTCTTCAAACACTAAAAACAAAACAAAACAACACAAAAAGGGCAAGGTGTACAATATTCTGGCTTGGACAAAGCATTTCCTAAACAACCATTCACAAACTCCCTACAAGTGAGGTAAAATACCAGGCTAATAAAGAACTGAAAAACATCTGTCTGGCTAGTTTTCTCCTGAAAGCTTCTTAGGATAATTGAATATTGAAGTTGAAGATGTACAAGTATTCAGTATACTTCCAGTCATGACTAATTTAGAACCAGACTCACCTGGGACTTCTGACTTCAGTGCACCAGGTTTATTGGTATATTCCTGCAATATGCCTCACTCACTGCCTATATTCACCATGAGAAACACACCATCCTTGCCCATCCCAAATTCATACCAGGATTTTATTTTCTAGTAGCCAGGTAAAATTATTTTGCTAACAGGCATGTATCAATTTTCATTAGTTAATATTCAACAAGACAAGAATACTGTATCCTGAAGTTTTTAAACCAAAGTTGTTTTTGTTTTTTTAAGCCAAGGAAACCTCTTCTCAGAAGAAATCTTCCTAGGAAGCTCAAAATAGGAAGGGAGGATGGGAAAGAAAGGAGCAGCTCTACTTGAACACAAGGTTAGAGAGCCCAACCACAAGTTACCAAAGAACAGCAGCATTCCACGAGAAATATATTCCTTGTCTATATTATCAACAGACATGCCCCCCAAGAGAGCTTGACTATACGTGCTTCCAGGGAATAACCTGGAAGGCCTCATGAGGAGGTAGGCAGATTACCAAGGGTACAAGTGGCTCTGGACACACAGGTTTAAGACTTGTAAACCTCTGTAATTGTATTTATCATATCTGAGGCTTATTTCAGACAAACAGAATATGTAATCATTTTAAGGAAAGACACAATAAACTTACATTTAGAATGTCTATCACAGAGGGCAGATGCCCTCATGTCACATAGCCGAATAGTTCCTTTACTGCTGCTGTATACAAATGTGTTACAGCTGTTTGGATGAAATTCTGCTGCTGTAATCACCTCTGTCAGCTCTTCCATATTGGCAGGCTTGATATCCACAATGTCTAGATAACATTTTATTAAGGAATTTCCACTTAGAAAAAAGGGCAAATATAATTCTACATTTCTCAAACCTAAAACCCATTCACGGACCTAAGCAAAAGTATTAATTCTGAATTGTACTCCACTGTTTTTATGAGTATAAATTCCAAAGGGATTAAAACCTTTTTTTTAGACGGAGTCTCACTCTGTCACCCAGGGTGGAGTACAGTGGCACAATCTCGGGTCACTGTAGCCTCTGACTCCCAGGTTCAAGCGACTCTCCTGCATCAGCCTCCCGAGAAACCGGGATTACAGGCGCACACCACCACAGCCAGCTAATTTTTATTTTTTTTTCTATTTTTGGTAGAGACGGTGTTTCACTATATTGACCAGGCTGGTCTCGAACTGCTGACCTCATGATCCACCAGCCTCGCCTCGGCCTCCCAAAGTCACTGTGCCCGGCCTCAATAGAGTATTTTTATTGACCCAATCATGCATCATGACTTGAGTGAATTTCTTTTTCTAATCTTAATGAGACTATAT